GACAGCACCAGCTCTGTGTACTCTGAGTGCTTGTTCAGAAATGAGGGGAATAGTGATGGGTCTGGATCTGTCAGTGTGTACTCGTATAAAGGTTATTCCCAACCCAGATCCAGACCAAAGTGTGCCATTTGAGTAGCAAATAATTGGAAATGTATGTCTATATAGCCAAAAGGCACGGCACAACTTCTTTTATAATCTGATTGAAGCCTTGCTCCTGCACTAACTGAGAAATTGCACGAAACTCCAAGAAAATATGTGCAAATTGGCTTTGGCACCAAAGCTGTTTCAGAGAGAGCATCATGAAAATTAGATCAAAAAGGAAAAGTTGTCATGTTCTGCCCTGAAATCCATTTCTTTGGAAAAAGCCAGACCTTTTCTTTAAAACACAAGTTTATTCCTCTCAAGTGAAACCTCTTCACCTCAGAGTTTAAAAAAATGGAAAGATTCTTGGTTTCACCTGAAGGGTTAGGACTGTTGTGAAATTCTCAATAGCATTAACACATACCTTCTACAAATGGCATTATGCACTTTTGTTCTTTCCAGCTGAGCAGTTCATCCCTTTGAGTGGCCATTATCTCTTGAGAAACATTCAGTGGTCACTCTGCTGTGCTGCAGAGTTTCTCAATATTTGCTGCATTCTGGTTCGTTGAAAACTGTGCTACTCTTTTGGTTCAGGGGTTTTATCTTCCATCCTTCCTTTATTTTACAGTTGTAATCTGGTGTTGGGCTAGTGTCAGCTGTGGTGGAACAGTAATAAACATGTAGGTTGTTGGACTTTCTTTTCCCTTTTAAGAAAACTCATTCAGAAAATCACAGAATGACACAAAGTGTGTGAGTAGAAAGTGCAGAGTGTAAGGGAACAAATCTCCAGATTTGTGATGCAGCAGACTTCAGGAGTGAATGAAATGGGAGTGTGTTGTGTTTCTTTTCCTTAAGAATTAAAGTGAGTGAAGGGCTGCTGCTGCATTTACACAGACAAGCAAAAGGTGTGAGCTTCCTTAAGTTTTACTTTTTTGTACCTTAATAGTTAAATCTGTGTAAACCTATTTAGGCACAGAGGAGGTTTTTGCAGGCATGCAGGATAGTATTCAATCCCAGTGCATGGTATCTGGTGCAGGAGTCATCAGCAGTGTTTCTCTAATACTTAATTGCTGTGTCACAGCAAGGAATCATTTGGTTTTTGAACCTGTGGATATTTTTTCTCAATGGTAAATGAGGGAACTCCTACCAGAACTGAAAGCCGATTTCTCTCTGCACAGATAATACTGATGGCATAAACCACACAGTTCTGTTGTGCAAAGATATTCATACTCAAAAGTAACCATACAAACCCACTTTCCCATCATATAAATTGCAGGAATTTATAAAATAAATACAGTTTCTAGATATTGTTTTCTGCTTCTGTAAACAGCATTTGGTATCTTGCAGGTTCAAAACCCTTGCAGTTTCAAAAGGGTGGGAGCATCAGCCCCTCAGAGTAGCATTAACCGTTTTCTTTTGGCTATAAATCTGGGAACAAGATGATTAAATAGACTGCAGAAGAGGGGAGGAAAACTCAAATAAAAAGGCACTTACATTTATTGCGTTTTGCAGGGTTGTTTTTGGGAGCAACGTATGTCTCTTGAGACTTTGTTTCTTACCCATTTTATAGAGCTCTGGCCTCTTAATAGCACTGCTTTAATGACTTGGTCTTGGGGTTCTGAGTTTGGAATCAGCGCTTGCCATGAAAACAAGCCTGTTACAAAGAGGTCAGGTTTCACGAGACAGCAATAGACTTGTAAAAACAGATTTTACTGGAACAAATAAAGTCAGAATTAAGAAGAAACCAGAGTTTTGCATAAAGAACCAAGATACAGAAGGAACAAGAATTGAGCTAAACTGATAAACAGTGTGTAAATTTAGATGAGAGGTAAGTGGGGATTTTTTGGTTCTAAAACTGGATTTAGTGAGAGTAATAAGTTTTTCTGAAGATTTTATGCAGTTCTTCGTAGTTCTGACTTTTACTTTCCTTAAAGATGAATTTTCAGAGGAAATACATTGTTCCTGCTGAGGTAGAAAAATGTTCATTACGTATCAGCTTCGATTAACAACTTGCACTGGACTTTCTAAATGGTGTAGCTGAACCTGTTCTTGCCTGCTATCATGATGGCATTTTGTGTTCTGTGAAATACTAATTGCCCTCAGTTTCCTTTGTTGTTCTTGCGAGTCTCACTTCTGTCTTTAATCTTCAGCTGTAATGTACCGGAACATGGAAATAAATCATTCTTTGTATATACACACATGAAAACCAAATATTGTGGGTTTGTTGTCTCACTTTGCCCCTTTAAATAATCATACCGATATAAGGAAATTCTGATGCTATTTTTTAGTTCCAATGGAGATGAAACTTCTCAAGGTGTGCTTTGCTGAGTAAGCTCAGAAGCTTTGCTTCAGTAAGGCTGCATGATTACCTTTCTGTCTTGTTAAAATGATCCTTTTTTATGCCAGTGGTGGTGCAGCTGTGCTATAGGATACTCTGAAACTCATGTTGCACTGGTTTGGGTTGTTCTTATAATCTGTGCCTTTATTACATTCCTAGAGGCTTTATTTTGAAATGTGAGCAGACTTGTCTAGGTTGCTACATCATACTTTCAGTAAATAAATGAAGCACGCAAAGCACTGTATTTTCTGTTAGAAAATCTGTTAAGAACAGCACTAGGGAAATTCTATTTTGACTCCAGGTGAACACATGTTGTCTGTGTAGGGAGCAATTAAAACAGAGAAGGAGGGCAGGGAGTAAAAAAGACAAGCCTGGATGCCCTTTTTTTCCCCTCCTCCTTTTTCCCCCCCTCTCTCTTCTGGTGGAAAACTACAGAAGAGTTGGGTTGCATCAAATTCAGCACAAAACAAATCCAGGAACAACTTGGTGTACATGCAGGTTATTTGACTTGTACTGAGTCTGTTCTGTGAAGCTGGGCTTTTGCAGGTAGGCAAGAACCTCTTATGTCTCTTTTTTTAGTTCTGGTAATTCCTTTTGCAATCAAAAGAAAATCTGTTTAAGGGGAGAACTGCTTCTGTGTCTCCCCCAACAGACTTTAAATGTAAGACTTCTGTTGTAACATCTTTATGCAAGTTGTGAGGGTTTTAATGTGTTTGTTTTTGAATCTGGTGCTGCCCAAAAGGGAAAGAAAGAACAAATAGTGGAACATGGGGAACTGGGTTAAATTCTGCTGGTGAGAGAGGCCAGTTCTGTTTGTGGGGAAGGTGAACAGACTCAAGAGTGTGGGGTTGTGGTGACCTGCTGCCAAAAGCACGGGGTCAGTCATAAAAATGGGTACCAGGAGCATCTCTGCTTTCACCCTGGGTGTGTGAACCGTATTTGAGGTGCCAGACCTGGTCTCAGTGTTTGCATCACGTGGCTCCAGCTGCTTTCAGGTGATCTTGCAGTACAAGGTGGTTCTGTTGTTTTGTTAATCACAGTCTTTGGGAGGTCTGTTCACAAATCTGCAACATTTTTGCTCTGCTGGTGTGATTGGGAACACTCATTCCTGCAGTGCTGGTGCAACTCCAGGAATGCAGCGCAAAAAGGGGATTTAGTCAGACCTGGGAAGTGAGATAGGCATACCAGTAATAGGAATTGTTAAGTTATGTATTTAGGCCCGTGTTAGGAGTTGATTTGTGTGTGGAGAGGAGAGCAACCAGGCGAGTTTGCATTTCCTTCACACTCCAGTACTAATCTATGGCTGCTGTACAGGAGTATGAAAGTGGCAGGGAGGAGCAGTCATCAGAGTGCCTGGTGTGCATCAGTACTGACTGTGTTATCTATGCAGAAGGGCATTATTGAGAACATGTCAGAGTAAATAGGATGAAAAAAACCTCTTTCAATTATAAACAAGTAAAATAGAGAAATTATTTAAACACAAAACTTGAATTTTAAGAGATGGGTAATTTACTGTTGGTTTATTGAAATCATGTGGCTGTATAATTTATACAGGAGTGGAAATTTATTTAAAATCCGATTTTAAAAAAAAACATGAATAACTACCATTGAGTTTACAGAGATTGTTCCCTCTGCAGTTACAGGGGGTAGAAAGGTGTGTGAAATTACTTGTGTTTTTATCCGAAAGGAGTTGCAGTTACAGGGGGTAGAAAGGTGTGTGAAATTACTTGTGTTTTTATCCAAAAGGAGTTGCTTCGGAAGAGTTGCGCTTTCCATTAGCTATGTTGTAAGTGGCAGTAAATAAACAATTAATTAGAGGGTTTTGTATTCCTTTCCCTTTGGCTTTTATATTTTGAGTAAAGAAATCCAACTACTGATGGCTTTCCTAGCTGTCTGTTGGCTGAAGGTTATTTATTGATCTGCCACTTCAATTGGCTTGATTTTGTGAACTCCTTAAGTTGTAAATGCTCAAAATCACACTGATGCTTTGTGCATCAGGCATCTGCGTGGTGACTGCTGGAGCTGTTGGGCTAAAAGTGTTCTTGCATGCTTAAACTTAGTGTGAGATCTTTGTTGGGGTTTGATTTCTTTTTCTTACCACACATGAACTTGTACAACTCTGCAGATGCTTTTACCAAAGCGAGTATTGTTAAAGGACTGAAACCTGACTGTCAGGAACCAAATGTTGTTTCAGAAATTTTCTATTGCAGACAGATTTCTTTTTTTTTAAAGCATAACGGGGCCTGTCCCAAACTAGTTGAATTGACATGAACTTTTGTTAGTTTGATAATTGATACGGTTTCCAGCTGCATGCCAGTCAATTAGTATGCTTAATTCTATTTTCATTTTTTTACTGAATTAGCTTAAAGCAACGTTATTTTAAGTAAGCCTTCAAGCAATGAAAACATCTATTGAGCAAAGTTGACAAGGTAGTTTGATCCACCTTTTTTGCATACAGAAAAAAAGCACTATTTAAGTATTTCTGGGTATTTTTGTAAGTTGATCTATGAGCTGAAGTTTGATTTAATCATGAATTTGTTCTCACTTCAGCCCATTAAATTTTATGTTCTCTTCTTTTTAGCCATTTCTGCATTTGAAGTCCAGCCACTTTCAGCTGAGGTCCAAGAAGGTGGAGTAGCTCGATTTGCCTGTAAAATAACAGCAAACCCTCCTGCCACTGTGACATGGGAAGTGAATAGAACGACTTTACCTTTAGTCATGGACAGGTATGGAGAGTTACACCTTTTGGAATGTAATTTATTTTTGGTTATCATTTTGATCCTGCTACAAGAAGAAAATCTGGGTACTTGCAGTGCCGTTACATAAGAAAGTTTCCATGTATACAGTATGTCAACTATTAAAATAGCTGATAATAATTGTTGCTAATTAATTTTAAATAGGTGCTGTGAGTGCAGACCAAAGTCACCTGCTATTGTTTACACAGTAATCAGTCACCTTTGAATTCTTACTGGTGAATTTTGTGTGAAATTTGCATCCTCAGGAATGGGAATTGCAGTGGGGAATGGAACAGGTGAACTTTGGCTGTGGGGGTGCTTTGAACTAGCAGGATTGCTTTCACTGAAGAATTGATGCTGAACCTATTTTTCTTTAGAGGTACATTAAAGAATTATATGTGCAGAAAATTGAGTTAAAACAGTTGATGCCAGGGAAATTCTGTGCTGGGGGACTTCTCTTGAGCTGATTAATTCGAAGCACACAGCCTGCTCCCTGCTAGATTCTTTCCCTGTCCAGTTTGTATTCCTTGAAGTGACTCCCATCCTTCTCAACATGTAACTTTGGTTGAACATGTCTAAGATCCCTGCCATGCAAAGGAAGGTAAAAAGAGAAACTAAAAACGGAAACCATAGGCGGGTTTCTGGGAACCATATACTAGTTATGCCCCTGTATCAGAGCCTGCTGTAAAAAGTCAGCCAACCTCAGTAGCAGGAATACATAGCTGGCTGAAGAAGGTTGGGATGGTTCCTTCTGAGGGTGAGAAAGATCTGCTTCTTGAAAGTAAATTCCTCTGCTCCCATCGTGGTGCTGGGGGGAATTTCGCCTGTAGTTCAGAAATGCAGGGGGTTGAGTCATGGATCAGGAATGTTTGAATCTCCAGACTGCTGTTCCCAGGTCAGTATAGCAGTGGCTGTTTGTAAATCAAGCAGTTAATTCCATGATGATGTTCGCTGGCTGAACATTTATCTACATTTCTGGTTTCTGTGACAGGATAACGGCTCTGCCCACAGGAGTTCTTCAGATCTATGGTGTGGAACAGAGGGATGCTGGGAATTACCGATGTGTTGCCACAACAACAGCCAACAGACGTAAAAGCACCGAGGCAGTGCTGAGTGTTATCCCAGGTACTCACCACCTGAGGGTTTTTGGATGTCATCATGTTCTTTTTTATGTTGTAGCAAAAACACTCAAGATGCTTTAAGGAGCTGTAATTGTTCTCTGAACCACTTGTCCAAATAATAGTTTTGCCTCCTTTTATCTTGTGGCTAAAATATTGTTCAGTGTAGGTTTCCACAATTACCGAATAAGGCTTTGGTTTAAATTTAACTTTCAGCGTCATTAAAAAATACATTTTATTTCATATTTAATTGAATTTTTTTAAATTGTTCTCACTTTTTTTTCTTTCTTTCCTCTCCTGCGAAGCCTCCGACTTGAAGCCTTTTCACAAGCCATCCATAATAGCTGGTCCTCAAAACATTACAGCATCTCTTCATCAAACTGTCATACTGGAGTGTGTAGCCACAGGGAATCCAAAGCCAATCATCTCATGGAGTCGGTTAGGTGGGTCTTAAAATTACAGCACACGACCTTCAGCCTGTGGAGAGGACGTGAAGCTGGAAAGAAAGGATTTGAGCAATTAGGTTCCTGTTCTGAGGCTTCATGTAGTAGGCTGGGGTAGGATAAGTGAAACACTTTTAGTTCCATGCTGCTTTTAAGAAGCCCCAAGGTTTCCTGAGGCTTTAGACTCTGTTTCTCCTGCCAGTCCCTCACTGAGCCAGCCAGGGTGGGCAAAGAGACAGGGAGGGTGGTGACCTCCAGGGGTCTGTGACTGGAGTAGGATCAGTGGTGAGTTAGGGCAGGTTGGGGTGGTTGCATCCTGTGAAACAATCCTGTAAATGTTTCTCTCACTCTTCTTCTTAGAAGCACTATGTGAATGTGGTTTGGACCTTGTGTTAATGGGCCATTTGACTATGAGTAGTTGTAGACAAAACCAGAATAGTCTGCCTGGAAGAGGAGAAGAGGGAGGCAGTAAGAATAATAACAGTCAGCAGTGCATTGCATTTTTTTCATGAAAACTACCTTTGTTTTTATTCTGACGTGTAGAAGCAAATTATGAGAAGTTTTTTCCCCCATTTTTATTTCTAAAAGTGTGAAAAATAAATGTTTCTTTCCTGTTTGATTCAGTGGCTCTTATAGACAAACAAGTAAGAAAAAAGTTTCCCTAACAGTCATAGAGCATTTACTGTGAAAATAGAAGAAAAAACATTGTAATCAAATATACTGATTTTATCCACAGCATAATTCAGAGATGGATGATCACTGTTTGTAAAGATGATGTGGATGTTGGTAGTGAAGAACTGAATCACAGTGCAGGGCAACTGAGGAGTCTAATTGGGAAAATGACATTAGTTTTTTAGCTGTGATGGTGAATTTTGGTTATAAACCACTTACAAAGTGGTGAGGCCCAACCATCTGAATGGTCAGATAACTGGAGTGAAGAGCAAAGTCAATGCAAAATCAAAACCTCTGCAAGTCCATCTGTGATTGCATCTTTTGACTTGTAAACTCTAACCTATGCTATTACTGCCTAGACAGCCCTATTTAGTGAAAGTCTTTAGACACGTTGAACAGCCTTGTGACCCACTGCTGCTGCTCTCCCAAACAGACCATAAGTCCATTGATGTGTTCAATACCCGTGTCCTCGGCAACGGGAACCTCATGATCTCTGACGTGAAGGTGCAGCACGCAGGTGTGTACGTCTGCCGGGCCACCATTCCAGGCACACGGAACTTCACGGTGGCGATGGCAACTCTCACCGTGCTGGGTAAGCTGCCTCGATTGTCAGTGTGTTTAACATCCTGTGTCTGTATTTCTGAGCTCTGCTATATACTGGGCTCGCTTCTTATCTGAAACATCACACAAGGAAAGACAGTAGAGGTGAAACAGATCACAGAACTGTGGCTGCCTTCTTCTCTCTGTTGACTTAGATGAGAAGTGTCAGATACTCAGCGTCTGAGTCGTGAACTGGCACTTGGAGGTACTCAGGTGCAATGTTTGCTCTGGCTTTCAACACAGAAAAGGATTCTATAGCCAAGTAGAAATATGTAATATACTTCAAGATGCCATAGGCTGAAGTTTGATTTGTTTCTATGGATAAATGCATGAGTAGAAATACCACTATCTGTGCAGATAGTCTGTGTCCTTAAATGTGCTTTGTTTATAAGGAAGGTGCTTTTTGCATGGGTATATGTGTATATGAGAGGCCTGAGGAGAGAGGCTTGTGTGTAGAAAATTAATTATTTTTATGACTGTCCTTGTATTTTTGGGGCTCAATTTTTTTAATATTATTCTTTCTCCTTGTTACTTATCTGTAGCTCCACCTTCATTCGTGGAATGGCCGGAAAGCTTAACAAGGCCTAGAGCTGGTACTGCTCGTTTTGCTTGTCAGGCAGAAGGAAATCCTGCCCCCAAAATTTCATGGTTAAAAAATGGAAGGAGAATACATTCCAATGGTAGAATAAAAATGTACAACAGGTAAGACTGTAATTACTGTAGGAGAGCTGTGCTAGTGATGTGCTACCAAAAGATGAAATTCCAGTAACTAAATGTAGCCAATCAAGATATAACACAAGTATATCAGACATTAAATGTAGTTATGGGCATTTCCTTGGCAGAAGGAATGCAGATTAGTCAACACCTAAAATCAGTAAAGCTTATGTGATTATTGCATTATCAGGCAGGGTGAGTGGGCAGGACTGAAGTTTCACCACAGAGTTACTTCAGATATGTACAGAGTGAAGCAGAATATTGCTACTACTTCTGTAGAGTTAGCAGCTTAAGGTTCTGCTTTTTGCAGGGAGGGAACAGATGTGCAGATTTGTTTTCATTATGCCTGGCTTTGGAGGCATAAACAGAAACATGGCTGGTCTTGAGGAACACTTCAAGCTGCTAAATTTCACAGCTGCACGTCCATTTCTAATAGAAGAGTTTGTGGCACTCAACTTAGGAAGCAGAGGCAAACATAACTGTTGTTGCATTATGTAGAGCTAAGTTTATCCAAGATGCGAGCGCTTTTTTTCACTTTTTTCTTCCTTTTGGATCCAGTAAATTGGTGATTAACCAGATCATTCCTGAGGATGATGCCATTTACCAGTGCATGGCTGAGAACAGCCAGGGATCTATTCTCTCCAGGGCCAGACTTACTGTAGTTATGTCAGAAGACAGGCCCAGTGCACCTTACAACGTCCATGCTGAAACCATGTCGAGCTCAGCAATCCTGCTGGCGTGGGAGAGGCCGCTCTATAACTCGGACAAAGTGATTGCATACTCGGTGCATTACATGAAAGCAGAAGGTAAGCAGCTGGATTGAAATACTGTCTAGTGATTTGTGTGTGACAGGAAGAACTTGAATGTCCCTGCAAAGACTGTCAGATTTGAATGGTTTGTATCCAGGGCTGCATCAGAGGTGTGTGTATATATATATATATATATATATATATACAGCAGTGTATACCTGCATATTGTGATCAACAGTCACACTTAGGGAAAAATGCCTTTGCCCCATCGTCTCATTTTGTGGGACTGCGTGTTCTTCCAACTCACCCTTGTCTGATGGCTCCAGTGAGCAGGTTCTAAAGTTAGGAATGGACTTTAAAACCTGGGGCCTTCATACTGCTATGTGGATTTCCCTCTGTCCTCAGCAGGAGCTTCTGCCTACTCTCTTCTGTGTGTGCTTGGCGGGGAAGAACAGAGCACACAGCAGAGTCCTTATAGACTGACAGAGTTGAACTTTTCCCCACAGACTTCTCTCTTGTCTAGATCCCCAAATTCTTGTGACTTTACTGGCTTTCATGTATTTTGGAGTAGAATACTTGTCCTGACTACCTTCTCTTAGAATGAATATTGGCCGAGTGGTAAAATCCACTCTCCTTTCACCTTTGGTCTTCTGTAATGAGAAAAGTGTAATCAAACACTAAAATGTGCTGAATAGCCATGAGTGGTTTATCCCAGTCTCTGAAATTATGTACAAATTCCTCTATAAAAGGGAATGAGTAGTTGGAATAAAAAGAGTAACTAGACACTATAAAATTCCTTATTATTATATAATTGCTTTAAGATACATCTAAGGTGGTAGGCAACAGCCATTGTTCAAAAGCAGAAGTGATTGATAAATTACTTGAAAAATTGTTAGGTGCTTAAAGTAAGGTGCAATGCAGCTCTGTTTTGTAGGAGTGATTTCTGTTTCCATTTCTATTCAGTAAGTGGTTTATTGAAGGACAGGACTGCAGATGCTCAGCTCTGTGTGGAATACCAGCCTGCCATCTGCTAAGCAGAGGACAGGAAGGACAGCTTAATTACTCTAATACTGATGCAGGAATAGCTGCCTTTGCTTTTGCAAGTGGGATATTTCAGGACACAAGAGAATTTTGTCTGAAGGAAGGAAGGAAGGAAAGAGTTTTAAAAGATAATGAGGACAAGAGGTGTGGGAAATTACCCCCTACTCTTTCAGTCACTGAGGTATTGTGCTCACAATCCCCTTTTAAAGCTAATATGAATAAAGTCACACTAGATAAGTTATCTGAATAATTGTAGAGAGCAGAGACCAGGTAACTTCAAAGAAAACTGCAAAACTGTCCTTAGGGAAGTGTGTATTTGTGCAGGAAATACTCTTGCACAGTAGTGAAAGGAGGTATCTTCTGGAATGTTTTCTGCAAAACCGTTTTGCAATCCCTGCTTTACTTACTTGCTTATCCAAAGGTTGTATTTTGTGAAATGAGATTGTAGCTTGTCTTGGTTTAAGAAACAAAACAAACTTCAAGCAAAAGCAACCAACCAAACAGAAACCTCTGATTTATTTGAACTTGCTTTTTCAACTACCCATTTTTTTCATCTTTCCTGACTGTCTTGTGATATTTACTTTATTTAATGTTAGTGAAGAAATGCACACACAGAAAGAGTGGAGAGGGCTGTATCAAGAGGTGTAATTACAGTGGTGGGATTCAAAATGTAGATGATCTGCATGCATTTTTAATTTGGGAACATGATTGTGTAGTACCAGAAATTTGCATCAGAACATAAAAAACCACTTTTGTCTCATTTCGTAGAAAAAAAAGCTGAGCTTCAAAGGCTCTGGATTATTATTTATTAATGTAAATATTTTGTATGAATATATTGCTTTCGTTATTCCTTTCAGCTTGTCTTTCCCCATTCCACTCTCACACCCTGTTTCTGACCCTAATAAAGGTTAAAAATGGTATCAGAGATGTCTGACGTAAGTAGATTTTATCTTGCTCAGAGCATCTCATGTGTAACTTTTTTCCTTACACATTTATGTTCATGTATTGCCCTCTTGTTTTTGTTAGGAACCTCATTTGAAAGTGTGAGTGAAAACATAGTATTGCCGAAGGAAAACAGTGCTTGCTAAGTCTCCTGAGTTGTACCGATGCTTTATAATTCCATAAACTTTTAAACAGAAAGCAAAAATGGGTAATGCGTGAATGATATGCAGTTTTGTGATTTTTTTGTAGACTTCACAGTGTGGTAGGTGCTTTGATTACAAAAGATACCATCACTCATCATTAAATTTCACAACCTGAATATTCTGATGTTTCACTGTAAAAACAAGTTCACGTCCTCTTCCCTATTACCCCAAAAAAAAAAGTTAGTGTTTTAATCAAGTTAGTCGAAGAAACTAACAGGTGTGGGTTTTGTGTTTTTGTTTTTTGTTTCTTTTAGCAGAATATTTTACATTCAAATCGGGGTCATAGTAGCAAGAAGAATAAGGGTCTGATGAGCGTGCATGTTGGAGTGTGTTAATTCCTTGTTAGTGATTTAGAAAAGGCACAAAGGGAACACTGATTGTGGTGGAAGGCAAGCCTTGTTCTCTATTATGGCTGTTTCATTAGGGCCTCTGCATGAGGCCTAGCAATCCATTCAATGAGAGAACAAGTCCTTTTAATTTGAGCTCAAGGATCTTGTTTAGCAGGTCAGAAATCGTGCCTTGCAATTCCTAATTAACAAGCCATTAACTAGTCTGTTGTGAGATGCTCGTAATCTTGTCTAATTAAAATGCTATCAAGTTAATTCATAAATGTGGGAAAACTTAATGGTGGAATTTGCCTTTCGTTTTGTTTATAAATTCAGTGGTGAAGAGGAGGAGCTGGCTCTTACAGAGTTTTGATTAAGGTGACATGCACTTGGTGTGAATTGTTCGTTAACACAGCAGCTTTCACCACACTTGGTCCACTTCATAGCCCTCCTCTATGGGATAAAGCCCAACAAAGACAAGGACTGCTGCCTGCATTGCTATGCATATTTTAATGTGAATTGCTGACAATTTTTTTCCTTTTTTTTTTTCTTCTTTCTTTTGTAACAACTTGCTAAGGAGCCAAACATTTTTGAAGCTCATTCTGGTCTGTTCTTACTGGCCTTTCTCCAAATTAAAGAAAAAACCCCGTGTCAATCAAACGTATATAGAAATCGCAGGGCTAAAATGAGATCCTTTTGCTGAATAAATTCTTTCTGCTTGTTTCTTTTGGGGAGGGGGTTGTTTGTTTGGTTTTTGATGGAGTGAAACCTTCACGTTCCTCACAGTGTGCTATAGAAAGGCTTTGTAAATAGGTTTTGAAAAAACCTCCCTGATTCTAAACAAATAGATTTAGAAGCTCGGTATGAATGATAAGGCTATTAGAGCTTGTTGTGTTACTGTACATGGGACACAGTTTGTTGTGACTAATTCTAAATAGGGTTTAGAGTTGCATTCAGCATCCCTTATTCAGCAAAAGCCTGAAACACCATAACCTGCACCACAGCAAGGCACAGTTACTCCTGAGCATGAGAGAGCTTTTACTTAGTAGGGCTGAAAACATAAAGGTATGCTGGGGAAAAAGGGACATTTACTTTGTAAGATCTGAAAGCCAAGATACTGTGATGTTTGAGGATTTTCAGGAGTTTTTGATTGTCTAACCCTTGTTTTATGCCAGGTTTAAATAATGAGGAGTACCAAGTGGTCATTGGAAATGATACAACCCATTACATTATTGATGACTTGGAGCCAGCCAGCAACTACACCTTCTATATTGTAGCTTATATGCCTCTGGGAGCCAGTCAGATGTCAGATCATGTGACTCAGCACACCCTTGAAGATGGTAAGACAAATTATTTTGGTGAACATTTTTATTTGTATTGAATAGAAATGTGAAATCCAGTTCTAACAGTTCTTGAGGACCTCAAATTTCCATTGATACCAGTGAGACTTCTGCATACACACTGTGCAAGCCAGCCAGCTAATGACAGGAATGAGAGTAAAATAACCTTCTGACAACGGTGTATATTACATGGAGCCTTTTTGTATCTTGAAAGACATTTCATTAAATCGTGTTAATGACTATTCTAGATCTTTAGGAACTCTCGTGATGTTGAGAATTTGACAGTAACCTAGGATTTAGTATCTATGACTGAAATGTGGATCAAAGTTCGCACCTACTGCGTTTTTTTGCAGATGCTGTAGGAAAATTTGAAATATGAATTTACTATACACAAAACCCCTCCAAATCTTTTGGTTTGTTTTTTTTTGTGTCTATGTGCTTTCTAGTAGAACTGGAATGTCATAAAAGACCCTACTTATTTCTTTGAAGGCATTTAATTAATCTGAACATCATGGCAACAACAAACTGTTTAGTGTAGTGCATTAGAACTGATTAATAAATTCTGACAGGGTTAAGCTTTGGCAGTGTGGAACACTGCCAGTTCCAGTTGTCTGCCTGTCTCTTTGTCAGGAGTTACAACCCTCATTACATGGTTGGTGGAAGAAAACATGCACCGAGTCTGTGACAGTACGGGTGGTTGTCCTGACTCAGTTTGAGCTGCTGCATCTGACCTTGAGAGGCAGTTTTCGGACCACTAAGGTGCTGATTACTGCTGGCAGCAATAAGAGAAGAAAATGTTGAGGGCCTTACAGAAAAAAGCTTGCTTAGGCTATAGGTGAGAAGTATGAGAAGTGTAAAGTTATCCCCAAACAAGAATCTGCAAGACTTGTTGGATTATTTACTCTTACAGTACTGGCACCTCAGCATAGGCCAAGGTGTCAGGTGAGAATTTTCCATCTTTTTTTCCCTGAGCTCAGAAGCTTTATCTTGCCCTTTTCAGTTCCCTTGAGAGCTCCTGAAATCAGTTTGACGAGCAGGAGTCCCACAGATATTCTGATATCTTGGCTGCCAATTCCTGCAAAATACAGGAGAGGTCAGGTCGTCCTGTACCGTCTGTCCTTCCGCCTCAGCACAGAGACCAAAATCCAGGTCCTAGAGCTTCCAGGGACTGCAGATGAGTATCTCCTTGAAGGCCTGAAGCCTGACAGTGTGTACTTGGTTCGTATCACTGCTGCAACAAGGATTGGCTGGGGAGAGGCGTCTTTGTGGACTTCGCACCGAACTCCCAAAGCTACAAGTGTGAAAGGTAACTCAACATACTTTGCACTGAGCACCAGTGGCTTCTGAGGTTGTTGATGGGTGTTTGTTTGGTTTTTTTTTTTTTTTTTTTTTTTTAATTTCAAATTAAATAGAACAGAAGAAAATGAGTCTACAAGCTAAAACATTTGATCAGCTTGCAAACATGGACTAAAGCTTCCATTTTGTTCAGTGTAAAATACATTTCTGCCAAGTGGGACATTTCACATTAGCAGTGTGTATAGGTACTTAAAGGGTCTGAGTTGGTGCATGTGAGTCTGTATTATAAGCAAAATGCACGAATGTTTTGAATATGCAAATTGACTTGATATTTGAAGTCAACTCAACTCTGATTTGAGTTGTTAAAATTGAGCTTTGGATTACATTATTATTTAATAATGTCATGCAGAAGAGCATTCAACTTTGCATGAATAGCTTGAAAAATACGTAGATTTGAATTCACATTTGCTCTGTCTCACTTTAAAACAGGAGGTAATTTTATAACTATCTTTGGAGTGTTTTTATTCTTCTTTAAAAATATCTTATAAATGTATTTATTTATTTATTAAGGTGTGGAATTAAAAGCTGTTAGTATTCTGTTTTATCCTAAATTAATTTGTTAGTTTAGGTTATAGGGAGCCAGACATTATAAGAAAGAAATAATAAGGTAAATACACACGAGTTAGAATCAAAGTCGTGAGGGAACTTTGGACTTATGGGCACCCAGATTTTTGCATGAAAAATAGTTATTTCTAAAATATAAGACTATTATGTAAATCTCTCTAAAACCAGCACCAAAGTCTCCCGAGCTGCGTTTGGAGCCCATGAACTGCACGACCATTTCAGTGCAGTGGCAGCAGGACTCTGAGGACACGGCAGCTGTGCAGGGGTACAAGCTGTATTACAAGGAAGAGGGGCAGCAGGAGAACGGGCCCATTCTGTTGGATGCCAGTGATCTTGAATACACTGTCAGTGGTTTAGGTGAGTATATAAAATATTTCTCATCTGTTTTGGGAGACAGCGACATCGGAGAGAGCTTGAATCACTAGACCTGCAGGGCAGCAACGTTGGTTTGGCCATCTATTTTCCCAGCAATAAGCTTTGCAAGCTGGAGTTGGGCTGCCGAGGGAATAATCCTCTCGCAAAATGTGCGTTGCACAATACTGAGATAACCAGATCTTGTAAATCTTGTGTGATTTGGAAAAAGGACACCCAGCTGCTTATCACAAGATACAGAGCTTGTAGTTAGTAAATACTGGTAGTAAATAACATCTCTTTTTAATATGCATTATTTTAAAATGCATTTTTAATATGCATTTTAATATGCCTTTTTGTATTTATGCCTGATTTAGGAACAGTGAAAGATGAATTCAACATACCGAAGATTTTTCTCTGGTATTTCTAGCGTATTTCTCTGTCATTTGTAGCCTTTGTCACAGCCATCCTGCACAACAAGCACTGCTTGTTTACCATGGTAGCAAGTAGCCCTTGTGCATGTTATTATTCTGTTAATAATTTTAAGGAGTACCAGTAAATATTTGCAGGACTGAGCACAAAGATTAGGGCACAGAACTTGCCGAGTCCCACTGGAGTCTTTCCATTGATCACCTGACTGTTGAGATAGTTTACTTAGGGGTATTGTGGAGAATTAATCTTGACTAAATTATCAAAATTGACCTGCAGTCTTAACTAGGTCAAATGGCCTCTTGACCATGCTCAGATATTCTCATCTGCTGAATACAGTTGAGATCCTGTTTTAGGGAAGATTTGAGGAGAGCATCCTGGTCTGTTAACTGGACAGCTGACCATCTGTGACCATTTCTATCCAGAGCATCTGGCAGTGGCTGACTGTTTAACAGAGCTGAGACAAAAGAGCATCGTTGGATTGAAAGGATGTGATGTCTGTGTGTCCTAGGACAGAAATGAATAATTTTTTCCTCTTCTTGCTATGGAATTACAAAGCAGTAATTTCAGACACACAGAAATTTATTGACTGTGATCTACATCATATGGATTTTCTCACTACACTAATCTTCCTCAGATTAAAATACTATTTTACAGAATTATGTTCAAATATATATTATCTATGTGTTTTTACTGTTTTTTCTTTCCATGTAGACAGGAGAAAATGAAAGAAAAGTGAGTTTGGCAAATTGCAACTTTCATATGATCAGTTAACACACAGTTAACTGAATTGCAAGAAGGAGGAATTCATATGCTTGAGTTAACTATTCAGTCATGGTGCACATGATGTGTTGATATTAATTCTTTATCATAATTCTCAGTATCTAAATGTGGTGACCAAAACATATAATCTGATTGCCATAATTTATATTCTTTGCACCTACATAATTCATGCTGCTGTAGGTTAGGTCCACTGGAGAGCATTTTTTTCAAGTAAATTTAGTAGTAGTAATTTTTTTCTTTTTAATGGGATGTATTGAGTTATTTGAAGTGTATATCAAATATGGGAAGTTTTCATATGTAAGTTTCTTCGCTGTTTTCTTATTTTTGTTTTTGAAGGCACTCAATGCTACAGCTACAAGAGACTCAACACAGGAAATTTGATTAGGTCATGATTTTCAACTGCTAAGATGATTAAATATGCTGAAGCTTGGAAAGTTCATACAGTGAGCAAAGTTCTCATGGTGATAGTGCCTGTCTGGCTGCTGTGTTTGCCCATTGCCAAGCTGCCTGTTTGAAATTCTTGTGCATGCTAAATTATTTCTTAGAAAACAGTACACAGCCAACCTTCTTCTGCCTCTGGCAGCTGCACATGTAGAGAATGTAACAGGTAGAATTGTCTGCAACATATAAACCCATGAAGACTGTAGCAATATCCACACATTTAAAAGGGATTGATTTGCACTTTTTAAATTTTATGTGAATAATCTAAGTAATTTGGACTAGGACATTTATGCATGCATGTAAAAATTATTAGTTATTAGGAAGTGGTCCTACCTGGTAGAATTTGAGATAAAACAAGGCAAGCCATGCACTGGGTTTTGTACCTATGGTAAACTGATCCTTCATGAACTGGGCAGAGACTTCAAGGACTAATGTTCTGTCATCCATTTGCCTCTCCTGAGGACACTAAACTACTGATTTATTGACAGCCTCTTTAAAATAAATGTCTTCATTATGAGCTACAGGATTTAGTAGAATACTGCAAGTATGAAACTTGAAGGGGAAAGGTGTCTTTTAAGATTTCTGGTTTCATATGTGTTGGATAACATGGTCAAAAGGAAAGATTATTCCTAATTTGGAAGAATGCAGTAATAGTCCTGGGTGGTTCCCAGTGGCTAAGATGGAGCAGTTGCTCATGCATTATCTGTTGCCAGTGAATTTATGTGACTTCCAAACGCTCCCTCTTTATCTCTTAGTTTGTCATGACCTAAGGCTACTCTACTGTACCCTGTTCTTTTGCATAGTTAATAAACTGCAAATAGACTTCTAGTGACACTTGGAGCATGTCAATACATCAGTCCATGGAACTTTTGCAGACATTGGTACAAATACCAGTTGGGCAAAATCTGTGTGTTTAAATAAGACAGTTCACTTTGTGGCATTTGAAGTGCATCACAAAGTGAGAATTCATAATATTGTCTAATCAAAGAGAATATTAGCATTGTTATGATAAGCACTGTTGATTGCCTTGATTGTTGATAGCATTGATATAAGTACTGTAAGTGATTGCAAATGACTACAGGACTCTTGATGGAAGGATAATTATGACAGGTAAAGCAGAATCATCAGTGCTAGTGTGAAATAGATTACAGTGATTGAACATGAAATGTAGCAATATGAATGTTATGCTGCATATTTTAGTCTCTTGTTGGTTCCTACCTTGTTTTCTGAGAACTGACCTCTCTTACTCCGTTGTAGGTCTACCCTGTTGCCTCTGTGTATTTTTAAAGGGGATTATTTAGTATGATAGTCACCACGTAAATAGAATTAAATGATCTGATCAGAGTCAGGGCTGCCATTCTCAAAATAAATATCCACAGTTTCACATAGACATTTGTTTGTGTTAAAGGTCTTGGCATTTATTTTTCAATAGCAGGCCATTTCCTAGTCCAGTGTAAAATTCCATTATTACTTGAATTTGCCACAGGAGCAGACCCTTGGGTGCATACCATGCATTTTTGCCTCTATTTTTAATTCCCCCTTTGCTTCCTCCTAGCCTAGAAATTTTTTCCTTACAGAAAGTCTTTCACTGTGAAATTTGATGAGTCTGCTGGTACAGGTTCTGTTCCTGTAATGGTTCAGGATACATGTGTTCAGAAGTTGAAGTGAGTTTTCCTGGTGGAAGAGTTTGGTGTGGAATTGGCAAAATTTGAAAGTTAAAATGAAGAGAGTGTCCAGAGAAGCTCATCACCCCCTTTAAATGTGTTCAAATTATTTTTTTCAAAGAGTATTTTATGTGCAGTCTCATCTGTGGCTCCATGGTGCTCACTACTGTGCTAAGTGGACTGTTTGCCTGTCAGGGCTCACTGTATTTGCAGCTGTATGACTGGTAGGAAGTTGGAGCCTGTACAAGAAGGGCAGTGACTCACAAGAACCCATTTGAAGCTTATCTGGGAGGATAACATCAAATTCAACTTCTTGGTTATCAAACTGAAGCAAGTGTGATCAATTCTGATGCTGTAACACAAGAACGCTGTTCTTCAAGCTGCCTGGAAGTTCCCCTTTCTGAACTTCACTTTTCAGTTCTTATCATGCTGGCAATTAATTAAATGAATGCCAGTGGTGATGGGGGATTGCAACATGTTCCTACCTTCTGTGCTTGGAGGGAGGGAGGGAAGCAAGAATTCCTTCTACCTACCATTCCTTCTCCCACAGTTGCTGTCTGGAGGGTGTCCCACCTTCAGGGATGGAGTGACAGTGAGGATTTCAGAAAGTTGCTCTCTGATGGCAAGGCAAACGGGTCTCTCTAAATGCACAGGAAGCCCTGAGGGCAGCGGGCAGTGGCAGAGATGTGTACACACTGGAGGTGCTCTTTTGTCTCTGCTGTGATGATATCGCAGCACATCACCATTTTCACACAGACACCTCAGGGGATGGAAAAACTGGTCTGTTGGCTTTGGTGAAAATGCCTTGAGCACGGGGAGCACACAAATCTCCTCCTTTCCCTGGAGAAAGCCCCTCCCCAGGAGAGCCTGTGTGTGGAGTGGAGTGTCCTGTGCTGGGAGCTGCAGCCCCCAGGAGTGCTGCTGGCTCCCCAGAGCTTGGGGCTGCAGGGGAATGGGAGAAGCTACCAAGTGATTGGAGTGTATCTGCTTAAAATAAATAATTAAATGAATAAATTCCTTGGTGATTCCTGAGAGGCTTGGAGGCACCACAGTCTTTCTCTCTGGGAAAGCTTCTTCTCTGCTGATGGGGTCATCTAAGCTGTTTAACATGAGCTGCATCATAACCCTGTGCTGCTTCTCCTGGTACTGCAGTTTTACATTACCCTGTTCCCAGTCCAGTGCTTTTGTAAAAATAATTAGATTCTGTCAGACTCATTTGTGTCATTTACTCCAAAAAGTTTGGCCTTACTCAGGAGAAACTTCTCTGCCTGAAAGCTCTTCTGTGTCCTACCTCTTTCCAGTTGCAGAGAGGAGAAATAGAGCGAAGTGCATTTCTCTGCCTTCCTTGACTTGGACAAAATTTCCAAGTGAAGAATTTGTCAAGATCTAAATGACACAAAGGCACATTTTGTGACCCTGCACGACGTTCCCCTTTGGAAAGGGGGCTTCTGCTGAAGAATTAGCCAACTACCTACAACACTTGGGGTTCCCCCAGAGACTTGGCCTTCAGTTGTTTCATTTCCCCTGGATCTATTTATATCACGTTACAACCATGACTGTAGCTAAGCTTTACTCTGGGGCAGCAAAGATGACAAGGTCATTCTGCAGTCTATAGAAATTAAATAAGGGTGTGTAAGAAGAGTCAATGCAAAGAATTCCTCCAATTAAACTGCCTGATGTGTGTCACCC